ATGAACGACGGAGGACCCGTGGTGTGGAAAAAAAATGAATGCTCTACGGCGGTTGAAGGAATGTGTTGTGCGAGTCACGAAGGTGCCCCAGCATGCATCTTACTGCAAATCTCCCATCCACCACAGCTGGATAGGTTCAAACTACTAGTTGAAACACTACGTTAGCTAGAGACCATCCGTTTTTTTCACCCCCGTCCTGGGTGGGAAACTTCACACATGTGCCCTCCATCCACCCCGACTCAAACGGTCCAATACATGAAATTAAAAACACGCTCATGCCCGTCTTTCTGCGGCCGGGAAGCCTCCAACAATACAAACAATGCACCCACGCGTACCTGCAATACACCCCTTGGTGTGTCTTCTCTCCATGTTTTTAATCATAGCTCGGCAACACGAAAATAACTGCCAGCCCCCGACAACAACAACCCCACCCCACCCCGTCCGCGATACTTAAATACTCTGTAACTTGTATCTACGGCGGTAGAAGCGAACGCGTTCGCCAAAAAAAAAAAAAATAGACACACGCCGTGCGCCAACTCTAGCGCGAATTGGGTATCGGCCCAAATCCCCGACACGAGGTATTCATAGCAACACCAAAACACTGCTTCCCTCCCAGCCATCGTTTTCAAAATACGTAAACCGAAAACAAAAGCAAGCGAAGGGCAGTACAGCTGCCGGCGCCGCAAGTGGTGAAGGCCCGGTGCCGTTAGTACTGGTCAAGCAGCGCCACGAGCTCCGCCCGCACGAGTGCCGCGTCTCCTGCACCCAGCATCAATTTCTTCTCCAGCGCCTTGATTTTTGCATCCCGCGCGTTGTTCGCTGCCTCCTGCTCCTTCAGTTGCACCATCTTCAGCATGTTTTCGCCGATGGTCTTCGCATGGACGTTGGCGGCCTTCATTTCGGACAGAGCCTCCTTCTTGGCCGCTAGGTTCTCTTTCTCCTTTGCTTCCTTCTTCTCGAGTTCCTTCTCCTTCTTCACGGCGGCCTGGTGCTGGCGGCGGCTGAAGGCGTCCCCGTTCGGATTAAGGCGTGTCATCGCCGCCGGGTTGCAGACAGGGTTCGCTGTGTCCAGCGTGATCTCCGCAGCTTCGGCGCTCTTACGCTTCTTGGGTCCGCTTGAAGACTCGAGGTGCTTCCATTCGGACGGGGTGTTGCCCCCCCACGGACTGTAGGCGGCGATGAGGATGAGGTACGGGAAGTGCCAGTTGTCAGGCACGTCGTCCTTTTCGCGCTCCTCACCCGCTCCCGCCGCCTCGTTCTCCTTGCGGAGGTTGGCGGCAGCCTGGGCCGCCAGCGCCGCCGGCCCACCTTCTGACGCTCCCGCCGCCCCGATGTCGTTGCGGATGTTGGCGGCCGCTTGGGCCGCCAGCGCTGCCGGCCCACCTTCTGACGCCCCCGCCGCCCCGATGTCGTTGCGGATGTTGGCGGCCGCTTGGGCCGCCAGCGCTGCCGGCCCACCTCCTGACGCCCCCGCCGCCCCGTTGTCGTTGCGGATGTTGGCGGCCGCTTGGGCCGCCAGCGCTGCCGCCCTACTTCCTGCCCCGCCTGCACCCGCCGCCTGAATGTCAGTGGCAGCCAGACCAGGGATGGGCGCCGCCGTAGATGGTACGGTGCCAGCGCCAGCCGTCGGCATGGCGTTGGCCGGGCAGGGGGCGTTTGCACCTCCCGCGGGGGCGCCCGCACCTCCCGCGGCGCTCCGGCGAGGCGCGAAGTAGTCGGCGGCTGCCTCGTCGCCGTTCTTGAGCGCCCGCATGTAGGCATCGGACTCATAGTACATGGCTTCGTTGAGTTCCCGTAGAGAATCTTGGGTGTTGGTTCCAGACGGCAGCTCAGCTGGCTCGTTCTTCTTGTTCCTGGTGGGCACGAAACGAAGACAACCATAGAGAGCAAAAAAAAAAGAGCACGCTACAGTGAGTCGGTCGGCAGGTGCGATGGGGATCGTAATGGATGTGTTTCACATGAGAGCATCAGCAGCGCCCGGGGGCGCGATTTATTTGTTGCTGTGAGACAGGTGCCCCGGCCTCCCTGACCAGTAAGGGAGTGGGGGTGGAGGGCTTCTGTATGATTTGTTTGTAGTTTTTTTGTTTTTTTTATGTGGCACAGCAGTCGCACCTCGTCGACTGCCGTACGGCACAAGCCCGGCGTCCTCGTCATCGCTAAAAAAATGAAGCTTGCACGCATTCCCACGTCTGCCCCCGCCCCCCCTCCCAAACAAAACGAACTTTGTTGTGATCCTGCAACGCGCGGGGGGGCGACATGCTACATTTCGACTCACAAAACACACACCCGGGCCTCAAAACAAAGGGGGACGAGTTTAAAACAGAAATAATCTAACACATACGCCCTGGAACACTTTCTTCGTCCTCCCAGGGGTACCGCTCCACTTAAACCTACATTAGAGGGAGGGGGTTAACGGAGGAGTCTGCACGCGTGTCCTCCACCCCCCTGTACACCACCTCGCCGTTCTTCGTATGTTTTCGTGATACAGTATCAACAGCGCATCCGACCACTTCAAACTGTGACGGAATTTATATCTAGAAGCGACCAGAGGTGGCCCCAGAACGTGGCTTGCTTCATTTGACCTTTAAACCGCCTATCTAATTTTTGTCGGACCTCTGGGAATGGAGGGGGGCGTGCGGAATACTTCTTTTTTCGCCCTTGGGAAGGACTCTTTCTTTTTGTGATACTGACGATTCATGGCGGTGAAAACCATAATGCCAACCTTCGTAGTGGACGAAGGGTTCGGGTGGCACACCCTCCCCCCGCACGAACTTCGCAGCAGGGAGTATCTGCGACAATAAAAGGGCAGGGAGGCCCATCGCCTTTTGGCCCGTGGAATACTGACGCTGCCTAGTGCTGTTTCACCTATAGGGGCACACCGAACTCACTTGTCGCACCACTCGAAGACTTTGGTCACCTCCTTCTTGAGGGGGCCGAACTTCGTGAGAACCGTCGATTGCTTCTGCATGAAGGTGTACGCCTTCGAGCCTCCTGACAAAACACGGGTTGTGTAGGCAGGTCGAGGAACAAGTACATCAGCTCTTTCTATCTGCGCAAGGTGAACAAAACATTGATTCCTGATTCCTGACTCAACAGAGTGTGCTGCAAGGCGCGTAGTGTTTGAGCTACATGGCTGGTGTGCACACGACACATGCGGAGTTCGTTCATGTCGGGCGAAGTGATGGTGCTGCTGTGAAGCGTATCTCTGTGCTCTCAGCTCGGATTTTTTTTGCTTTTGCTCGAAGGTGAGATGGACAGGTTTTGGCCGGAAATACAGCAGTGCCGCAACAGCAGCAGCAGCAGCAGCAACAGCGCAGCAGCGTGGGAACATGGGAGCATCACAGCAGCAGCAGCAGCAGCAGCAGCACACCACCTGCTCCTCCCTCTACTCTGGTGACACCTATTTCTTTTCTACGCATAGATAGTTCGTTTCTGGTCATGAATGTGGAGAAAGGATAAAAGCCGAGACATACTTTGTGTTGCGTTTTGTGTGCCTATACTAAAATTGCTACACAATTTTGAAATCCAGCCGTTATTTGAAATCCAGCCGTTATGTTGTGCGAACGACACACCCGACAAGCAAGCACACCTTCCCGCACAGTGGCCTGGTGCGTACCACCACATGAAACACTTTGGATAGTCACACACCTGAGCCGAGGGTTGTGTTGTACAGCATGTCCTTCCATTTGTGGGGCATGGCCACAGGCTGTCCCAGCTGTTCCCCGGCGGCAACGATGAGCTTGATGAAGCCAGGGACTGCAAGCTCCTGCATGCACTTCGAAGAAGCGTACTCCCGGTCGGCTTTCGCCATAGTTCCGCGCTCTTTGACGGATAGAGCAGCGAATGCCAGGGGAAGTGCCTGCAAAGCCTTCAAGGCTGATTGGGTCATGACCTTGTTGCCATAGACACGGCTGTACTCGCGGATGGCGAACATGACATCCTCGTCGAGGGGGACGGGGAGGATCGGTGCTTTGGAAGACAGTTCAAAGTTGACCGCCATGTTTCTATGATGACCGGCGTGTTGCGGAGTTGTGGAGGCTCTGATGGGAGAAGGGAGGAAGGCCTTCGGTGTGTGGTGCGTGTGGTGTGTGGAGTGGTGTGTGTGGGACAGGGTGTGTGATGTGAGGTGTGAGGTGGGGGCGCGTGGGGGATGACGTATGATCAAAATATTAGGGTATGCTGTTCGGTTCCGAGCTTAGAACCAAAAATAACCCCCCTAGCTGACAGTCCAGGCGAACATTTTTTTGCTGTACCCATAAAATCGAGACGGAAATCTTCGATCGCCGATTATTCAGAGCAAAATGTTTGGCAAAAGTTTCAACATTTTGTTAAAGATTCTGCTTCCATAAACATCGGTCTAATTGTTTCTTTTTGGTGGGAAGGGAAACACAGATGAAACACAGATGACATGTGGAACCAGGTAAATTCTCTACTACCCTATGTTTCTGCACGTGCTAGATTAGCAGACTCACTTACAGACGGACAGACAACCTTCTGTATCGTGTGCATATGCATAGAAGATTGCACCGACACAAAAACACTTTTTTCTTCGTATTACAGTACAACAATTAATAATGCCCAACACGAAAGCACGGGGTGCCTAGACGGGCGATGATACCATGGTGCTGTTGGATATTTGCGATGACACTGTAGACTCAGTGACGAAATCAGCGGTCCGTTTTTGATGGGTTCCAGTAAACTGCTTCGCTAGGCTTTCTCTTCGCGGAACGCATCCCCGCAAAATAGAGCCAGTTTTTGGGTGTCGAGCACGCGCCACGGATTCGTGTCGAGTAACGGGCATACGCGGTAGTGCACCGATGAGCATAGTCATAAAAAGTCCGCCCAAAAGATATCAAGCACAGGGGGTATTCTACATCCTCGGATGTGTTTGTTGGCAACAAGGACCTGTTTACAACCTCTGCCGCAATCCCTTCCGTCAACTTGTTGTTCTTTGGGCCCCGAGCGGTCGCCTAATCTTAAACCTTTTCGTGTGCATACAGGGGCAGGACGACAGCAGCAGCCGTGGACGACTTCCGCCCTCGTAGCGGCTACCGGAGGTGGCGCTAGCAGTTCTTCGACCTTTGGCCGCAAGGCCGCCAGCTGTGGCGCTGCCTCTCAAGCGGCCCGCGGAGGAGCCGTGTCGGCCAAGCAACGGGCAATGGCGTCGATGTCGGCTTCTTCTACGCCCGAAGAGCTTAACGAAGCGGCCGCCGGCGTATGCGCTGAAGTCATCCCAGGTATGTTTGCGTGGGACGTGCTGGCTACTCCTCGTCGCATGGTTGATTTGCTGCTGTGCTCGCGCAGGATGTTCTCTTCCGCCGTCGCGCTAACGCCCCCCCTCGCTCCCCCGACTTCTCTCGTCTGCGTGCCACCGCCTTCGTTCACGGCAACCACACCTACGTCTGCGCCCAAACCGCTGCTGCTCGCGGCGTGTCGCGTGTTGCATCCCGTTCCATCGGGAGAAGTGCCTATCTTGAGCGACAACTACGCGTATCTCCTCATAGACCCGGCCACGAAGAAAACCGCCTGCGTCGATCCGGCAGAGCCGGAGAAGGTGGGCGCGTGCTGCCAGACGTCTCTCGCTTGTTTCCTGCAGAGTAGGTTGCCTAGGACAACACGCGCCCTGAACGATTTTTGGAGCTCGATATCTCCACGACGAAGAGGATGCCAAAATCAAACGACGTGTTGTCGGAATGCTCTCGATGAGACGGTTATGATACGCCCCCATTGTCGGCAATGTTTTTGCCCCGGAGTAGTCGAGCCTTGTGAATTGGTCCCGGGGTGTGGATTATTTTCCAATCTACACCGTAACTTCCACGTTGCTGCTGTAGTTGTAGTGTCGTTTTCTCTTTTACATAGCTTTAGACCTACCAATTGTTAGCAGGGCTTGTTCAGCATGGACGTGGCACATGCTCGCGTTGTTTGATCGCAACTGGGAACATGCCATCCCACACTTGCCCGTTTAGGGCCCTCCTCACTACAATGCTATTTGTATGTGGTCACGATTTCGTTTACATACCTGTTGCTTAGATTACACCAGTCGTTAAGCTAAGTAGGCACTTGAAAACGAGCAGACAGACTTGCAACCTGCTGCAAACCCACGCAGTACATGGTCAACGAGCCGCAGGTGCGCATCTCTATGCAATACACCGAACGATATTCATGCACATCCCGATAATGGTTTCGACGTGGAAAAAAGGCGTTGATACAACAACAACGGTAGTGAAAAAGGAAAGAGTTTTTAATCGTCCATCCCACCAATCGTGTTCTGTTTTTGTTTACTATCGATGTGAACCATGTCCTTTCTTTTGTGACCCTGCGTTGCCCCCTCGTCAACAACTTGTCGTGTAAGGTGATAGCAGCTGCGCAGGCTAGAGGAGTGGAGATCAGCACCCTGCTCTGTACTCACAAACACTGGGACCATTCGGGTGGCAACGAAGCCATGAAGCAAATGGTGAGACTAACACACATGACGATGATGGAATCGAATCGATAGTGATTGATGATGATGACTGTTTAGGTATTGTCGCAGCCATGTGGCTGCAAAAGTACTTACACATTACGCACACATTACATGCGCTTTCTCCGGTTTGCGAGCACCGTTCGCCAACTGATCCATGATAAGCGAGTAAGGAAGCGTTACATTTTGCCGCCCACCGCTGCTGATTCAACGAAACAGCATCGACCCCTATCCCCCGTATCACTGTTCCAACTAAGTTTTTCGTTCCCTGGACCGTAACGCCTTTTTCTTCCCGGTGGACGACTTCTCCTTTCGACTCGACGGTTTTTTGTTGGTCTTGGATCGATCCACGGGTGGCTCCGTTTTGATCCAGATCCCGGACTTGGAGGTCGTGAGCTCGGCTTACGAAGACGGCGTTCCCGCGGTGAGAGTGGGACTCTCCATATAGGAGTACTGTGTGCGATATCTGCACATTCAGGGTTGCAGTGAAAAAGCTTTCGGTTGAACAGTATTTGTTGGGGTTGTCGTCTTGTACACAAGACACCTTGGCAAAGGACTACTGCAACGTGCTTGTTCTCCGCGTCTCTTTGTACCTAAAAGTGTTTTTCAAAAATGCCCATGTTCCATCCCAGCTCGGGCTCTCTGCACCGGAGTGGTGTGTGTTCCATGCATTAACCCATCAGCCCCTCACTCTTCCCCCCCGTTTCCTTGCCGACTTGCGACCCCTCGGGCCCCGTCGTTTCCACCTCCCCGGCGAGCAGATGACGCTTGCCTTGAAAGACCGCGAAGAGTATGCCCTCGGCTCACTGACGGTGAGGGCGTTGCACACCCCTTGCCACACGCGAGGACACGTGCTGTTCTTCGTCACAAGTCCGGCGGCGGGGGCGGGGGAAGAGGGAGACGGGGCGGCTGCGCCGCTGGTGTTCTCTGGAGACACCCTCTTCGTGGGTGGCTGCGGACGTTTCTTCGAGGGGGATGCCTCGCAAAGTGAGCACTTGGCGGGGTGTTAGGGATGCGTGTGGAGCAAACAGGGACTGTTTACTTGTTGTCTCGTGTCAAATCAAGGGGCACAGGACGCGAGCTCTAGGAATCGGCTCGTGCGCGGTGAAGACCATCGCATGTTTCGCCGTTGGATCGAGGCACGCGAAGGTTGTTCTTGTTGCGCCTCGTGCACGAGGCGCTTACGTGTTGCAGCCGAGGTACAACAAACCTTGGCCGTCGTTTTTCGGCAGGTAAACCTGCTCGCGCACACCACTAATCAAGGCATACCCCTCTTCAGAGGAAATGATCTTGTCTGTGTGACCCTGGATCGAGCTGTTGAGATTGAAAGGCGAGCCAGTGGGGTAGGCCGAGAATTGCGAGCGACAGCTGATGAACCGAACAACGGTGGTAGAGATTTAGTAAAGATTTGTGCAATAGCGTGCGGGCGGACGTTCCTGGTTCCGGTAATGTTTCGCAGCTCCCACTCTGCGGCCACCAGCTCGCCGCTCCCGCCAATTCCTACTGACGTCGCGTGCTCGGAAGTCTGAAGCAATTGTTCGTCCCGCACCTCCCCGTACATGCACCTGTCGGCAACGCGCTGAAACATGTCGTGCTACTTTCGCTTTGCAGTGTCCAACGCACTCCAAGGCGTCGCGGCATCGCTTCCGGGCGCGACCCGAGTCTTCTGCGGTCACGAGTACACCGTGAGCAACCTGCAGTTCGCCAAGTCGGTGGAGCCGGAGAACTCTGCGGTGTTGGACAAGCTGGATTGGTCGAGGAGGGTCTTGGCGAAAGGGGGCTACACAGTGCCGTCAACGGCAAGTGCTCTTGGGGGTCTGAAAAACGCTCTTGCCGTGTAGAAGGTTGTTGCTACTGTTGCTACTGTTGTTGCTGTTGGGATTCGTTTTGCGTTCTGCTGGCGACATGTGGTATCAGAGTTGCCGGATGAGTGGTGGGGAACCCGGGGCCTAAGGTCTTATCGGCGGAAACTTCAACAGAGAAGTCGTTCCTCTACGACGACGGTGTCCTCGCGAAAAATTTGTGAGAAACGTTGGATTCGACTGAAAGGCTTGGTTTGGGTAACCCGCGATACAAACAGGACAAAGACGAAGCGTCAAGTTTTGACTCACCTCGCCTTTTTTGTACAAAACGCTCTCCTCGGCGAAGATGCGCTCAAAAGCAACCGTTCGAGGGTACCTTAAATGTGGATTTGCACCGACCGGTCTCTAGCGCGCTCGCTAAATATAATCCTCGCGACGTGTGCTGTTCCTCTGTGCTGAATCGAACGCGTCTCGCGTCTGCAGATATCTCAAGAGCTGGAGCATAACCCTTTCATGCGCGTCGACGAGACGGCCGTGCGAGAGGCCACAGGGAGTGGGGATGGCGTGACCGCGATGAAACGGTTGCGAGAGATGAAGAACAGCTTCCGACCGCCACCTGAAAACCCGGGACGATTCCCCGCACTGTAACGACCACGCTAGCGACGTGCGGGGGAAGATGCGCAACCTTCCTACCTTTCGCGATTTCGGGCTCAACCATGCTGTAGCGGCTGCCAGGTTGTGGGTGCATTGGGGTAGTTTGCTTATCTAAGTGAAGTCGTCTCCGTTGATGACCGTACGGCATTTGACCAGTATTGGCACTGGACCCCTGTCGTTTTTCTGGTAGTTCCCGACGATTCCAGGAGGAGCAGGCGTCACGTTACTTCGCTGAAAACGACGGGTTTCTGAGGACTAAGGCCGTACCCTCACAACGAAAATCCCCTTTGTAAATACAGTCGAGGGAAGATTTTTTGCTTTTTTCACACATCATAATTATACTCGATTTTGTCTCTACACCCGTAGATACATGTTCAGGATGAATTCGCAGTGGACTGAAATCGCTCACGAACTTCCGATACCTGGCCTGTAGATAGAGCGGTTGGGATTGTTACAGTAACAGGAATTGTAAGTTTTTAGTGGAGCCAATCACATCCATCCTGTGTTCGTGCATCTCGAAGCACTTTCTCGTGCAGGTGGCGGGTGCCTGTCGTTCGGATGTGGAGCTAGCTGTCAGCACCTGCTCCAGATAGCTAGGAGGTGTCGACACGCTCAAGTCACCGCACGCCAACAACCGGGAAGCACTGCCGCTGTGTGTGGTGTTCGGCAGTGCCGATATTGGTTCTAGGGGAAATGCGATTTCTGTTCTTTCGAGCCCAATCTGCACTCAACAGACAGTGGGCGATAATGCAGGCCCTGGTTGTTTCGTACAACTACAACCATCCAGGGTCACACAGGGGGGGGTAAACACCAGGGCTTTTTTCTCCTTTTTATTTCTTTTCTTGCCTCACCTTCCTTCTGCGGTGCGTGCTGAATTTTATTTTATTTTTTTTTTTTTCCAAATACAACACAACGAGTCCATTTCCGTCAGAGAAAAGAGTCAAAGACAGATTAGCAATGGAATCATAGCGTCAAAGAAAACTACCTGTTGTGTGTCCACGATTTCCCAGACAGCATATATGGACATCTCCCCTGCGGATAACAGGCTCAACAAGACAGTTTGGTAGCTGTGTTGTGTGTCTTATATATGTTATGTTGGGAAGGTGTAGACGAAAAGTGTTGGGCTGTTAGTTAGTTGGGTGTTTTATGTGTGGCACCCTGTTGGTTGTGGATCTCCATCCATTTTACACGTGTATTTCCAGTTTGGTATGCATTTAACGCGAGGAATATGATTTGGTAAGTAATTGAGTTTGGTATGCATATGCATGCATCTGTGTCAAATTGAATTTTATTGTTATCGCGAGAAGGGTCCAGCCGTCCCTTTCCCTCGTCAACGGTAGTTTGTGCTAACAACGTCGAAGTTTGGTCTCACGAGAGCTTTTTTTATCTGTACCTCGCTTTCACACGCGAATTTCGTAAATTTTTCATCCCATGGGGATCCGAACTCACGACTTCTGCGACTAGCGGACTTCGACGATACCACTAGACCACTTGGGTGACCGGTAGCTCAGTGCCGACTGCCGGATCCATCACTGCCAGCCTGCCCGTTGATTCTTGTGGTACATTTTTCGGGGTTACGCAGCATGAATTACCAGGGATACCCGTCATGCCCTGCCCTATCTGGGACTTTTTTTATTTTTGCGCGGTTTGTGGGCAGGGCGATTGTGATTTATGAGCAACAGCTTATCGAATCAACAGCTCTTCAACCCCTGAGGAGCCAGTTGCATTTCGAGGGACCGTACCGCCGTGCTAGGGCTCCACGTGCTGCAGCGTGCAGTTGGCAGTAGCTTGCGGCATTAGCCTGCCGTTCAAGAGCGCCTTTGCAGTCCACGTTGTTGGCCTGTACTTGGTGCGTGTGTGCGAAGGAGCGGAGCGGAGCGTGTGTGTGAGTGTCTCAAGAACAAGTACGGAAAACGATCAGAGGGGAAAAGAAGCAAGCCTGTCTGTGGGGTGGACAACCCGCCGCTGGCCGAGAGCCTTCTCTTTTTTTTCTCAGTCTCCCGTGTCGGCGTGACACTGGTGAGCCGCTGAGCACGCGTGTGCCTCGCATATCACTCTCGCTGCTGCGCTTGGTTTCGGGGAAGGGGCGGGGCCGGAGAGCAACAGGCAGGGGAGAGGAAGAACGCCTTAAACGCTTCCAACTTTACGGGAGGTGTCCCTACAGGCGGATTCTAGCGGCGGGTTTATTCAGGGACTGAATAGTATTGCTTCTTGGTCATGAATGGCCTTGGCGCACCAGCAGTAGGAGGCGCTGGAAATCCCACGCCTCTGCTGATCCGGATCCTTATGATAGGGGACAGCTCTGTGGGGAAGACTTCTCTGGTGCTGCGGTACGACAAGCGAGGGTTTAACCTTCGTTTCACGACGACCATTGGGGTCGACTACAGCGACCGCCTGTTGGAGTTGGACGGGCGCCAGGTCAAACTACAGGTGAGGCAACGTGATGCAAAAAAGTCCTTTCTTAGTCCTGGCAACGCCTTGCTCTGCGTCTGCTGTGCCCAGGGCGGGATGCTGTAGGCGTGCTGCTGGTCCTCCCAGTTGTACTTCTATCTAGAGTCTAATTTCTGTAGGCGAACCCCGCCGTCGTTATGGCTCATCACACCCTTTTACCTCAGTACAAATCATGCACCGTTTGATGAGCGATAGATGACAGAACCAAAAGACACCCAATCGCACATTATTTGTCCTCTATTTATTCCACATACCGCCCCGATCGCGGTATTGCAGCCATTATGATTGGTGGTGTTTGTTCTCCTGCATCAATCTTCACACCGTTTTCGGCACACACATCACGCAGTCTCCATCCCACAACGCAAGTTCTACAGATTTCATCCTCTGCTGGTCAATGATCACGAGTTCTTGTACTTTGTTCGGGTTTCTGGCAGCACAATAATCCGCCCACACACCCTTTCTGTTCCGCCAGAAGAGTTGGTCTCTGCGGCCTTCCCTAAACAATCAGTATGGTGAAGCGCGAGAGCGTCCCTGTGCTTCTCTACGCCATTTTGGAGTGCTGCTGTAGTGCTTGCTTGCTTTCTTTGTCGTCAAGGCCTGAGGAGCTCGACGGCAATCTGGCTGCCTGCCCGTCGCCGTGAAAAGCATAGCGCCCTCGAAGCTTTTCACCGCACGACAAAATATAGAGATGGATTCGTTGCGCCATATTGATGAAATAAAAAAAAAACACCCTCCCCAGAAGTTCTCAGAGCAGTGTGGTGAAAGATCCAGGCCCGGAGAAACATTTTCCAGGGCGGAGTAGCAGTGGTAGGTCTTTCGTGCGGAAGGACATGCTGGCATGGCGCATCGAGTAGTCAACGTACGGAGGGATGGCGCTGCCGCTAAGGCTGCTGTTGACTTTTCGACCCAAAGATCACGACCAACACGCCTAACCCACGAAGGCCAAGCATCGAACGGAGAAGAGAAACGACCTTGTTTAATTGTTCTTTCCCACCAGCTGTCGTTAACGGCAACCAGAGAGAAAATATCCGAAAAATACGCCTACAGCTAGTATATTCCTATTTCGTTCCACTATAAATAGGTGTCGTAGAGAGGCGGCCGACCCGACCGACCCTGCCTGCTCAAAAGCGTACATCAAGGCATGCTTGCTTTAGATTCGAGGCGTTGGCGAATAAATCAATTCCGAGTTCCGTACCTTTGTCGCTGTTAATAGCAAGCAAGCTTTATTCAGTTCTCTCCTCCTTGACGGCCGCCGGTAGTCGTCAGTCGTGCGTGCAACTGAACGCTTGTGTGTGTCACATCTACGCACAGCAGTAGTTCTGGCGCCTGCACACCGTTCGACCTTTCGGTGTATACCACGCATCAGCCGGGTGACACACTGAAGGAAGTTCGCGCTTGTTTGAGGCACAATGTGATGTCAACAAGCGCATTTCTGCTGTACAATTGTAGCTGCTGTCTCCGCTCAGCTGGCCTTCGGTTTTATCAATAGACTAGAGGAAATAATCTCTGGGAGGCGTGGCCGGAGAATGTGTCGACCCCAACAAAGCTACCCTTACATCAGCTAGATGTAGGTGCTCTAATCTACAAAATCGAGAATCTAATCGATTGGGCATGGAAAACGAACAGCCTAGTTGTTTGAGAGAGAGAAAGACAGAGCGCACTAGAATCTGACATTCTTGGTTGTCTACCCTGGTCAGTGTCGATGTTTACACTGCTGTGCCTAACACAGATGATCTGGATAGATTCGGGTGATTGTCAATTGCAATGATGGCTTTGGTTGGGCGTTCTTCTTCATTGTATGTCTGCGGGCTCAATTTGACAGCACTTCAGACAGCAGCTCCATGCCCCGAGCTTGTGTACCATGCACCATGGTGTTATTATTGTACAGACAGTACTTCAGACAGCAGTACGCTGTAGTCGACAAACATTCATTTTGGTTGAATATCGGGACAAGGGGGGTGATGCTGCTGCTGTAGACTAGTCAAATTGTAGTGTGTGGGCGTGTAGTTCAGCTGTGAGCACGCAAACGTGGTGCAGGGATTGTAGGTGTACCTCCTCGGGCTGATATACCCTTTCCTTGCTAATAGTGTGTGTGTTCTTCAGATCTTCTGATGGCTCTAGCATTTTTGTGACCACGGACCGAGTCTTTGCTAGATTTTGGGAATAGCAACTGACACGAGTTAATGTGAAGAAAAACAACAACAACAACAACAACAACAACAACAACAACTCGTCTGAAGAACAGGGCAGAAGAGTTAAAGCCGACGAGAGGTGAGTGGTCACGATGGAGAAATATTGGCCGGTGATGCACAATGTAGTGCTACACGTATTGCTGACAATATGGACGAGACAAATGCTCCGAAAATAGAAACATCATCCAGCGAAAAATCAGAACCCTCCTGTAAAATTTCCGGACAAACGTGTGGTGGGGCGGGGGCGCGGCTGATATGTTCCTCGGTCGGGTGAAAGGATCAGCCTCATGATCTGCGGAGATTTCACCCGACTTGCACATTCCAACACCCGCTGGGATCGGTGGTGTGGACCGTTTTTGGGCCATGTCGGCAGCCGAAAGACGACCGCGTTGGGAGGGGAGGGTAGTTACCACACACGCCAGTAGTCACGTTTCTTTAAGCTGTCGCGAGAGGCAGCACTACACAGCAGCAATCGCATCGGCAATGGAGCACTGTTCCCGAAAAAGCAAGAAGGAACACCACTTTCTGCTGCTGTCTGTTTCTGTGTTGTGGAAGAAGTGCGGGATGGCTTGTCGTCAGGTACGTCATGTGCGTGCTGCATGGGATCGAGACCGTCAAACGTCAAATACTATGCCTTGGGGTGGCGGTGTCGTTTGTACAACACTTCGGGGCCCTCCAAAACCAACCTCGTTGTCGTCGAGTCTGCCAACACTTCATGGACAATTTCACGCAAGAAAGAAAGCAACTACACCGACTTGGAAATTTATTTTGGCACCTGTCGGCCGGTCGGGTGGGTGGCCCGTTGGTGTCATATTTTTTGTAAAAGTTCCTGCACGACCCTTCCGAGTTTGTAACTGCTGCCCTGAAATATCTTGAGGCAGTAGCCGGGCCAAAACTTACAGGAATCCTCAGCAACTCCAACACCTGCCCCGAGTTTGTTGCTGCGGAGTATATATGTATACGCGTAGTGCTGGGGGCTCGACCTACCCTGGGTCGTTGTCCATGTTGGTCTGTGTGGGGTGGTCCTTCTCGAATGTGTGCGTTCTGTGATGCTCAGTTCTTGGACGAAAAGCCTGAAGCCCTTCGTTACATCCGTTTTGCCTGGTGGCCCTTTGAAGCCATACGTGTGTGATTTGCAGCATTCTTCCCCCTCATGAACAAAAAACGTAACCGGTTTGTTGGTTGAATCCATCCTTCTCGACCTGCCCCCCGTGGACACTTATCCCCGTTCTTGTTATCGCGGATAATCATCTTCGATCTTGGTATTTCTACGCAGATCTGGGACACGGCAGGGCAGGAGAGGTTTCACTCACTGACGACGAGCTTCTTCAAGCGCGCCGAGGGTTTCGTGCTTGTGTATGACGTATCGAACCGGCAATCGTTCGAGAGCGTATCGACTTGGATGAAAGACATCGTCGAGGTGAATTTCGGCCATTCCTCGTTATTTTTGTACTTATTTCCGTGTATGGTCCTGTTCGCTGTCGAATGTTGTACAACTCTCAGACTGATGTCTCGTCTTTCGACTACAATATTGCATTAAAGACTGAAATAGCCATTTTGGCAACAGGCCATTCATCCAGCTATTTAAGACCTTTTCGGTTGATCAAAAACTCATACTGGCATAGAGTTCGGTCAATACCTGTCGCTAACCGGTGTGTGCGTGCTTGTTGTATCCGTCATGAGAGACACATTGAAGCCGTGCTCCGAGAACTGGTTGTACACTTCCACATGTCTTCAAGTTGACGTTGGCTAGGACCTCATCTGCCTAACTTATGAATCTCGTGACGGTGTGACCCAACACAACCACCAAGATGAGCTCCTGGAAGGTGGAGGGACCCTTTTACGAGGGATTGGCTGAACTGTGTGCGTTGGCTCGCGCCTGCGAAGACTTGTTCAGGTTTTCTTCTCGCAAATGCGATGGCGCTCGCAGCGGGGACCCGGCAGGAATCAGGAGCCCGATTCGAAAAATGGCGGGGGCACCGTGTTGGTTTTGGGGGGGTCCTGTCGCTTCGTAACGGTATCTCTTCCCGTTGTCGAATTCTGCTGCTCTGTTGCTGCTGTATTCCTCGGAGATCTGTTGCTGAAGTTGGATGTCGTTCTCCCTCTCCGTGCCCTTCGATATCTTGGTTGTTTGGTTTGTCGGTGTGCCAATGCCCGATTGGCTGCTACTACTGCTGCCGCTGCTTGGTCTACCCTGCGGTTGTGGCGTTATCAGCAAGGGAAAAGAGGGTCGGACGTGGTTATTTGTGGCAACAAGTGCGACTTACAGGGGCGAGAGGTGGCAAGGGAGGAAGGCGAACAACTAGCGGCGGAGCTGGGAGTCCCGTACATGGAAACCAGCGCAAAGGAAAACCTGAACGTCGAGGAGACCTTCGGCAACTTAGCTTCGCGGGTAGGTGGCGGTTGGATTATGCAGGCATAGGATTATAGGGGATGGTTGTGAGAGATTGGACGTGCAACCGTACCAGGTGGTACGACGTTTGAGCAGTGTTTGTTGTCGTTAGCCTGTGGTGTGTGCTGTTGTATATTTATCGACATAACAGTCGACCTTTCAAGCAGCAAAAAGAGTCATGCAATCGATAGATCATCAAGCTGAAAACGATGTGAAGCGGAACCTACGAAGTTTGGTTGATTGACCACTCACACGAAAACAGGGTGAACGAGGAGCAGGCGTCTGTCTGGACTGTTGCTGCTATGCTGCTGTTGCACGGCACCGACCCACCGAAAGTACTATAATACAAGTTTACCACCTCTCCAAGCCCTCTCCTGTACCGTAGCTCACGTTTGCTTTGCCGAGAAAATTGGCGACGGATCGAACGCCGTAGATCGTAAGGCATGATAGCAGTGAGGTCTATCTGTCGGTACTTTGATCGCCACGACGTCGCACCTTGCTTGTATCCTCTTTACCCTTGGTGTGGAGCACTTGAGATGCAACACTTGTCTCAGCTTGGGGTATTTTTTTGAGCAACTGGCAAAATGGGGTAAACCCCGCATGTTTGGGCACAAGATGAGGTATACTTTTTTTCGGTGCCGGGCGCAACACCTGACGCCGGGTAGGCGCCTTTAAACCGCCTTCTAGCGCTTCAACCCCATGCGCCAGATTCTTAGAAAGGACGCCCAACTCTTTTTTTTGCTTTTCACCCACAGGAATAGGGTCAACTAGGGCCTGGAAGAGGGGAGCTTGTCGGAGGACCCCATCATGTTCACGAAACCGCGGGGTACACCCCCCTGTTTTTTTTTTTTGTCCTGTCTGCTAAAAGTTTACTAGTACCCCAAATCGTTCACAAACGCACCCCATCCTGTTCAAGGCATACCCGTTTTTTTTCAGTCGTGACTCTCCTGCGGACTGTCACAATGGCAACCAATAACCAACCGCAAACCACCATATCTCTGCATCTTCTGTCTCCTTGCCTCACCGCAGACCACAACAAAGTCTGTATGTTGCACCGCAGACCACCATACTCTAACATCTCCTGTCATCTTGCCGCGCAGCAGACCGCGAAACCTGTGTGTTGCACCGCAGACCACCGTACCCCAACATCTTCTGTCCCAACACGTACGGTGGTCTGCGGTTGGTTGTTGGTTGCCGTTTTGACAGTCCGCAGGAGCGTCACGACTGAACAATAAGGGGTACGTTTTGAACAGTATGGGGTACGTTTGTGAACAATTCGGGGTACTAGATAAACTTTTAGCAGACAGGGGGGTGAACCCCGCGGTTTCATGAACAAAATGGGGTCCTCCGATGAGCTCCACTCTTCCGGGCCCAGTTAACCCTATTCCTGTGGGTGAAAAGCAAAAGGAAAGAGTTAGGCATCCTTTCTAAGAACCTGTCGCATGGGGTTGAAGCGCTAGAAGGCGCTTTAAAGGCACCTACCCGGCGTCAGGCGTTACGCCCGACACCGAAAAAAAGTGTACCTCATTTTGTGCCCACACACGCGGGGTATACCCCATTTTGCCATTTTGTCAATTGCCGTATTTTTTTCTTCCTGTCCTCTCTGCCACTATTGAAGATCCAATTTTTATCAGTGTTGAAGTGAGATACAGCATTAGGTACTCGTTTTGCGGGCCCTCCGGCTTGAGAATGCTGGTACAAGACCCTGATCTGCTGTTTGTCGTTTTTGCTGCTGAGAGCTGCAGGAAAAGTTGCTGGGAACTCGAATCTTCCAACTGCCGCAGATTGCACACGAAAGATACCACACCCCTGCAACGTACTGCACCTCAAACGGTCATGGTGCCCACAATTGGCAGGGTTGGAACCGTCTCGTCCATATCTCCACGACAACGCATCATAATAATTTGCCGAGCTTTTGACCGCAGCCCAGGGAGTCTAGTGTCTCACGCACCTCACGGTACTCTGATGCGTTCCGCGCCGACTGACTCTATGGCGAAGTTTGCCACAATCGTCGATTCGGCTTAGAACGCTGTTCTATCGGGTAGATACACCATGGAGAAAACACGACACCCTCTTTCATGTCACCCCCTTGACAAGATGCCGTATGCCCATCGGGTTTGCTGGCTTCCGTGTTTTCCCTAGATTGCTGTGTCAACTGCTTCATCTACATCCCAGCCTGCCACGCGCCACATATCGCGCAGTTTCGTGCATGGTGCTGCAGACATCTACGAGCCGTATTACAGTATCCACCCACCGATCTCCCAAATCTGCGAGTTTCACCGAACGTAAATGATGCAGCATTCCAACCGGTCGACTGATTGTGTTTTGTTTTGACAGGTTAAGACCCGGCTGGAAGCAAGCCAGGCTGCCACCGATGCGGCGGGTTCCGGAGAGACGCTGAGACTGAACGGGGGCCGAAACGGGGGCGTAGACACGGAGTCTCTCACCCAAAGGATGGAGTCGTGTTGCACTTGAGGGCTCTTGCCCGTTGGGGGGGGGGGATGGGGTGCCAAGAGGGATAGACAGACGACAGACAGACAGAGGCGCCGGCACGAGGGGCATTCTATCTCGAATATGGGAGCTAGTGACTTCCTAGCTTGTGTGCGTAACCAGTTTCCACCCATACGCACACCGGAAGAAGTGTGGGGTATCCCCTGCCAGGTCGCCTACCGTGTCTCCACTGTGCCTCTTTTCGTTGATGATTTTAGTACGTGGGGGATGAAGATGGTTTTGCCACACGGGGTGAGGGGTGGAGGGGGGGGGTTGATGTGACGAGATTTGGGTGGGATGATAATTTGAGGGCGTTGGTTTGAAGAGGCGTGCTAGGACAGGAAGGAAGTGATCGATGTCCCTGACCGTTTCCATATGGTACCGCTCTGAGCGCCCTGGAGATCACGTAAATCGCAGAAGGCAAGGGAGCACGCAGCAAGGGGGAAGAGCGGTCGATTATATCGTGGAATGGGGAGCGGGGGGGGGGGCGGGGGGNGGGGGGAGTGATTGCATTGGAGCGCGAGCTAGTATTTCCGCGTTGAGAGCGAGGACAGGACTTGGGTCGCATCGTCTTGTTTGGATAGGGTCGGGGCAGAGATGGTTGCCCCCTCGGTCGATGCACACCACACACCACACAGCAAGCAGTCGATGCTGCTGTGTACCCACACGATCCTTGGCCGACGGCTCAGCGCGCAGATCGGAATGCCAAGAGGTCGTAAAGTATTGCTGCCTTGCCACGTCAGGTACGGTGGTCGTATTTTATTGAACATGTGATGTTGTGGCCTCTGTTGGGATTGTGTGGCGGGAGTACAAATGCGCTCGCGCCTTTGTTTCGCGAGTCGACTGCTTGGTGTAGGCGAAAGGTGGGTAGCGCTCTGCGCTCGCACGTAGAATGAAGCTGAGGTTCCTATGGGCATGGAGTGCGGGATTGCTGAGGACACATGCAGTATTTCGATGGCGAAGCGAGGCCCGCCTGGCTGTCGTTGTGTACGCTCTGCCGTGGCTTACTGGAACTCGTTGGGCATGTGTCGTCTGTTGTGGAAGTCGTTGGGCACGTGTCGGCTGTTGTGGAAGTCGTTGGGCATGTGTCGGCTGTTGTGGAAGTCGTTGGGCACGATCTGGTCCATTCACATAATTTGGCTCGTTGATCTGATTTGGCTTTTCAGTCAGGTTCGATTTGATTGGTCCCTCACTGGTTCGATGTGATTGGTCCACCGGTCTCGTTGGTTGCCCGGAGGTGATCAAGACATTTGTCTAGCAGTGTTTGTCCTGCTCCCCCCCATCGAGTAAGCCCTTGGCGGTTGCTCTTCCAGTGTCGGCTTGATGGCAATCGATGCCAAACGACAATCCGGCGTGTACACAAAACAAAAAGACGGTGTAAAGTTCACTGTTGGTTGACTGCTATCCTCGTCGTCGTTTTTTATTTCCTTCCATCGTGCGATTTTTTTCATGTGTGCGGCCTGCGGGAGAGTTGTTCCAAAGAGAGGGAGAGATTTCGCTTCAAAGTTTTCGCTTCCAACAGTTTATTTAGTTTTCACTCCCTGAGTGACAACTCTTGCTGATCCAATAGCTGCTATTTCCAAGCAAGGGGCACGTCATCGAGAGACGGCCATGTATGTTCTATACACACACTTGTGCGTGCTCTGTCTGTGTTTTACAGTCCAAGAAGACACCACTTCCCTCGAGAGGCAAACAGGCCAGAGTTGCGCAGTAGTAGGCTTTGGATTTTTTTTTTTTTTGGGGGGGGGGGGGAACCAAAGGGTTGTNACAGTCCAAGAAGACACCACTTCCCTCGAGAGGCAAACAGGCCAGAGTTGCGCAGTAGTAGGCTTTGGATTTTTTTTTTTTTTGGGGGGGGGGGGTAACCAAAGGGTTGTTTGTAAACCTTGGAGTAGTGCACAGAAGTAGACCCCTTTCGCGTGGAGACAGCAGCCAGTCGGCTTAAGCATGCATGCGTGTGTGGTTAGCTTCTCCTCGCCATTTGTTTTTAAAACGATATCCTCGTCGGCCCTGCTTGCTTTGTCATCACGTGGTTTCCGCTTGTAGTTGTTGGCTCGGGCTATTCCCTCCCTCCGACGAACCGGAAGAGGAAGGACACACGGACGGCAGCGGCTCTATCTGGCCACATTGTTTGCAGTAGACGTACACGCTGTCGGTCGCCCGTGCGCGTACAGGTTTTTGGTCGGTCTGTAGAGGCTGAAGTAGGTCAGCGACGCTGTTTTTGTACGAGTGTCCGGGGGGAGGCGAAGGCAGTAAGGGTTAGGCCAGTCCCAGCCCAATTTAATCCTTTGAAACCGTGCGGGGGGCATTTGGACGTGCGCAAGACTTGACAGGTTGATAAAAGGATGCACAGCAGCTGACTCTTAATTTGCAGCGTTGTCGAATTTCGGTGTTCCATTTTCCCATTACATGTTTTCTTTTCATTTTTTTTTTGTTGTCGTTGTTCCCTCCCTTCCTCACCAGAAAGGAGATGAAAAATATTGTGTTGTGTATGCGCAGTAAGGTCAGGAGTGTGAGGAATATTTTAGGAGACCTGTCAGTTTTGTTTCGTCACGAACTTTTGACTTTTTCTATTGGAAATACGCTCGGTGAAAGTATGGCAGGAACGATCGATTTGAAAATCACGTTCGAGAGCAAATTTTGACGGTGACATGGAAGACTCGGACTACTGACTAGTCTATCTAACAGCAGCCGTATCACTAGGACAGAAACAGAGGGCCGCTACTACTGGTGCGTTTCTAGCGGGCGGGGTGCGGGGTAGCATCTCGAACCACGCAACTTACTTCTTTGTCGGTACAGTAGCCCTCATGTCCGTTGTTTACCATTTTTTGTGGCAAGTTGCGCCAGCCTACATGCATCGATCGACACGCGGGAGGTGGCGTGGATAGAGGATAGGGTACTACTACACCTGCCCGCCTCATCAAGATCAGCCTGCTGCTGCACCTTTCCATCATGTCAGCCACGTACTTCTCCCCTCCTCTGTCTGGCGTTGTTTGTCAATCACTTTTCCTTGTAGCAAGCCCTTCAAATAACATGCGTATTTTTTGTTGCCCTTGGGCGAGATTCATTCATCATTGTGTGTGGTGCATGCGCGAGGTGGTGCAGCTCTTTCGCGACACAGCGCCCGCACTCAAGAACTTGGCAAACTAAGAAAATCACGCTCAACATGACATCAAACCATCAAAACCTGAGCACCATTTGTGAGCCCGGTTGCGTTCAAACCTATATATATGGAGTAGTGGTCATTGGTAGCCCACGAGAAGAGGTCTACAGAGTAGAGCCTCAGCCTCGGCCAGCACGTCCCAAGGAACAGGAGAGGGTATCACTTCGCCGTCGGACATGCGGAGCAAGGGTGAGTGAACACACTTAAAAACTCTCGCACACCTGCCCGCCCCCCCCCGGTAAGCCGACCAAAGAATCAACACTGTTGGCAGTTTTGTGTTCTCGGGCCCACGTCAAGCAAGCCGCATTTGTGCTATGTACGTATGGTCCGTTCGGGCAAATATTCACAATCTTGTTTTTCGCGATATCCTTCGAAAAAAAACGATGTGGAAAGTGAAACAACTTTGTTTGGGCGTGACCGCGGCGTCGAGCTTCGTCGATATCCGATGAGTTTTTGGTGATTGGGTGAAATGCGACATTTTTGACTAAAATGACCCACGGAGCCCCCACCCCCCACCCCCTCATGAC